CATGCAGAAGGTGCCCAATAACGGTCTGTATCACTCACTACATGAATATAGTGATTACTAAGTTCATCTTGCTAAATATCAGAAGCAGAGTCTTCCCTGGTATAAATGCTGGACACATACATGGAACTCAAAACAATTTTTTTTGAGACCAAAAGAAGTCAATTAAAAAATGCCTTGCCATCCAATTTCTCTGACTATGGCCTGAATCCCCAATTTATTGTCCTCTTTGAATCTCAGTATTTCACTTAGAAGAAATTCACTCTTTTGCTTGTTGAGTGCTCATCTGTAATTCTTATTCTTTGCCCCACATCTACCTAATGGAACGTAAACCATGCCTGATGCTCATCCATGCAGATTAGCACATAAAAGACTCTTAGAGAATTTGAAATTAATAAAAATAACAGTAGTACTAATAACTTGTACACGATGTATCGGACATTATGTTAAATGCTTGCCTTAGATTGTTTCATTTAATCTGCAATAAAACCCTATAAAGTAGGTATTACCTCCATTTTACAGATGAGAAAACTGCTACTAATGAAGCGAAGCGTATTTTCAAGATCATTTTCTGGCTGATGGCAAAGCTGATGTTGCTAATCAAGATATTTATAGTTTCAAACAGTTTCAATGGGAAAAACTGAAGGTGAATTGAGATGTGAATATTGTGTTTTGAGTTAAACAATAATCGAGTTAACCTTAAAAATAATAACTAGAATATGATCTTGTCAAATAGCCTTAATTAAGACTGGGGATAAGCTCTTAAGTCATGATCTCAGCCCTTGACTAATTATTCTGTTTCTTTATTGACATCTCAGTGTCCAACTAGTGTGCAACACTGATACTCTTCCTAAGTGCAGGTGATTTCTTTTACTGCTGCTTTATACACATTTGTTTGGTGGCTGCAGTTTTCAGGTTGAGTGTTCCTTTCTGGAACAGTTCACAGCACCTTGCTGTGATACACTCTGTATTTTTCTCATGCCTTTTATTTTTGCATTTCTGGTTTTCTAAGGTATTGTCTTTCAAAACAAACTTTTAAAATTGACACCTTAAGAACTAAACACACACAGACACACACACACACACAATACTTGAAACATAATCTACTAGTCAATCTGCCTATATTGCATCAGGGTCTATAAAAGCTATGGGTCCACAATCGTACTCAAAAGGGGAAGAGTTAATGTAATATATACAAAAGAATTATCATACAGAAGAGAAAAAACTAAATGTGGTATATGTGGCTTGTTTCTTCTATTGAAAGTGTATTTACTTAGATAGCATCAATTTGTATTCCTCTCTATTTCCTAAGTAGATAAGATTAAATGTAAATGTAGAGAATTAAGTCAAACCATGCCAAGAACACAAAGTGCTAATCAATACGATTGGGACTGCATGATAATCAGTTCAGAAGAGGGTCCAATAATTTCTATGAGAAAAAGAATTAGCCAAATATGCTAATAGGAAATTTGACTATATAGGTTCAAGTCCTTATTTCTGAGGGGAAAAATATATTAAAATGTTTCTAGAGCTTATAATGAGATACTAGAATCTCATACATATAATTTCAATCAATTTGGGAAAAAGCATTGAGTTATAAAAAATTATAACCTATATGAAACACTTGGAATTACAAAAGTTCCATTGATGTGATAGGGAGGATGACTATTAAGTTATTGGTTAACTAGATGTGAACTGGCTGAAGCTAGCATCATTTTAGACAGTGTAGCTAGTTCTTATGCCCCAAACAAGGTTCATATAGTCAATAACACAGACCCTGTAAATATTTATTAAAAACAATATTTTCTAAAATTTCAAAGGAATTACTATTAATGTCACCTTAGAAAGATATAAAACAAAGTACAGAAATTTTAAATTAAATTAATATTTTTGGTTGCAGCTTTAAGTATATTTTTTAAAAGTTTGGCTCATTGTGAGAATTTTTGTCTGTTTTTAAAGTACTTGAAACTTTTACATGGGATTTTATTGAAATGTTTAGAGGAATTTGACTAAGATTCTAATCAGTGTTTAAGTGGTTGAATCAGATTCATTAAATTTACAAGTTTTGCCTTATTAGCTGCTTAAATGGTGTTCAAATGTTGAGATGGATTGTATTTATTAGAGTTGTATGTTTAATAAATTGGGCATTAAACAAAGAGTAAGTAGCAGCAAACATATTTCATGCACCAAAGTTTCTCAGGCAAATAAAATTTAAAGAGGACTGGTATGAAGCTACACACAGGGTGGGTGCCTGCAGTTTTGAATTACATAGCTTTTCTAGGGCCTTTAATTTTTGTTCATCTCATCCCCTTGAAATTTTAAAATATCAAAGACAAATAACACACTCATTCTGGAAGTAAGTTTTAAAATGCCAAAGACAAACAATATACTCTTCACATTATCTCAATTCTAAGACTGTAGCCTCACATTACTATGGCATATTTATTCCGATGCTGAAACTTGCAGCTTTTTACTTCAATGTATCCTCAAGTCGATGCTGACCACCTCTTGTTTTCATTACTGCTATAGGAAGAATCTTCTATTCTTGGTACTCCGGATGTACAGGTTCAAATAAATGCCTTCATGGTATGGTTAAAAGAAAGAGCTCCCAAACAGATTGCACCTAGGAAAATATAATCACTCTCATTCCCAATTTTCATCTTTAAAGATGATATTAACTCTGATGTGTTTGGCATTTTTGCTCAAGCATACGTAAGTCCTTCTAATGCTTGGCTATTCCCAGGAGCTAGAAAAAATAATAGCGACAATAATAATGACAACCATATAAAAGGTGATATGGTAGAGTGAAAAACGCTAGACCCAGAAAACTGGTGTTTAAGTCTCAGGCCCACTACTGTCTGGCCGTATGACCATGAGCAAGTGAAGTAATCTATCTGTGCTTTCATTTTAATAGTACCGCTGTCACAGGTGTGTTGTAGAAATTACATGGGTGTGCGAAACTACCTGATACATGGCAATTGTTAGGTAAATATTATCTATTATTACTAAAAGTTTTTTGAAGATGGGTCATATGAAAATGTCATATGTTTCAAATGAACTGTTTTACTTTAGGTGATTTAAAGTCTTCTCCAGAGGCAGGATGAAAAAGATTTTGGTCATGTATTATTTGAATGCCTCTCGTTCCCATTTTAATTTTTACTGTGTCCACTAAATTTAGAATAGTTAATGCCAGCCACTTTGCCCATAAAGCCAAAATATTCTGTAATCACCCCTGTGATACCAATTTCGAGTATTCGGCTTTTAAGTCCAGAATATCAATTGTGTAAAAAGTGCAGATAATTCCAATTCACTTTTGATTGTAATGATCTGAACCAAACACAACACCTAATTGATCCAAGATGATTTGGTCTTTGTAATTTTGTGCATTACGTGATCTGCACGCCCAAAACAGGAATATCTTTGAATTTAACATATTTTCCTTTTCAGAAAACAGAATTCTTTTAATTAAAAACATTTTTAAAAAGTTCAGTGTGTGTAATTGTTAACACCTGCTATGTGTTACCAACAGATGTTTCTTACTTACCTAAGGGAACTGTTATAATTATTCTATAAGCTTATTGGAATGGCATTTACCAAGATAGTTGTGAAAGTTAGTTGGTGACTTTTTATGTAATGTTTGGTATTTTTAAAAATCCTTTCCCCTACTGCTGTCAATCCCCATAAACCTACCTTAACCCAGCCTGCCAAAAGCAAAAATGTCATTTTGGGATGCCAAAAATGCAAAACTGGCAACGATCATGCATATTTTAGTCTTCGTGAAAAGTTACTGAAATGAAATCGTGTGTACACTAAAGCATATAAAATTTGCTCAAGTGTTTTAGCAGCTATTGTTTATAGTGTTCAACATGGAAGTCTTAAATCTTGATTATAAAAGGAAAAAGATATCTTTTCGAATGATAATACCCTACTAACAGCATGGCCTCAGAGGAAGCTCTAGTAAAAGTGAGAGTTTTCTTTATTTTTCTGGCCGTTCATAAGGTCTTATAAATCCTAGGCTATCTGAAATCTTCATTTATGGTACTAATCACACAATTACCTATAGGCATGTGTTAAATTTGATGCTGGTTTCAGCCAAATAATGGACCAACTGCAAACAATGAATAAAAAGGGGCAGCTTCATTTATAACCGCTATTTCAACAGAGCTCTATTGTAATCATAGAAATCTGAGGATTGCTCATTAATTAATTGATGTTCTTTTTTATGATGTGCTATTGAGTTAATGAGTAATTTGTGTGAGATAATTCTCTGAACACATTGATTACTTGAGATATTTTCCAGGGCTTTCATATCAATGACATGCTGGATAGGTAGAAGATGGTATTTGCTTTTGTGTGCTTATTATTAGCAGGTTGGAGATGAGTAAAAACCAGCACAAAGACACGTTAAAGTTATTTGATATAGGCCAGCACTCAGTCTGCTCAACGGGAGGCTGAATGCTCAGTCTGTCACATAGTAGGTGCTCAATAAATGCCAATTGAACTAATGACTATATTAAACCTCTGCTTTCTGTTATCTTAAATTACATTAAAACCACATTTCAAAATATCCATAATGATGTTTTTAAGAAAAAGTAATGATCAAAAGGCTTTTGCTAAAATTGTATTTTGTGCTAATGGCCTATTACAATAAACATGCAGATTGTTTTTGCAACTTATTCAAGTGAACATGAAACATGTTTGGCCTGCATAATTTCTATGAAATTGTTTCAGTGACGATCAGAGTAGTTTGCCTAACGTGGTAGTTAAAAGGAAAACATTTCTGTATGGCATGTTTTACTACAGATATAATTTTCAGTGCCCTGTTTCAGTTAAGGTGCAACATCTCTTCTGTAAAAATGTAGAATCAAGTTTCCTGTTTTAATTCATTATACAGAACAGAAAATTTGAAATTTAATCTGACAATAGCAACAAAGTTGCTGTCTGAAAGATCACTTAAAATTTATATAAATGTGCAAAATTACAGCCAGCAATTGCTACCTTCATTTTTGAGAGTTTTATTTTCGCCATAAAAATAAATAGTGGTAAATGACCTAGCTCAGAGATCTGAAACATAATATTCAGAGAAACATTTGAGGTACTTTGTCTATGCTCATTATGACTTAGCTTTAGAAAGTCAACATCGTTACACACTTTTTTTTTCTTTTCATGACTTAACATATGCTTTCTAGAGATCATCTTAGATTTTGCCAATTAAGCGCAATCATAATAGTGTAACACCCCTTTTATTAAAAACATAAATTCAAATGTAAAAAAGTGAATGAAAGAATCCAGCAGATATTTATTAAGCAAGATGAAAGTGAAATTACAAACACAGGTCAGCTTTTAAACTCAGTTAGCACTCTATTGGAGTGGAGGTGCACGATCCTTCATCATAGGCAGCCTATGGGAGATGCATCTTAGGAAGGGGGCTGTCGCTGCTCAGAAATCAAAGCTCCATTGGAAGTGTCCTACTGGAGGCATCAGACAACAAGCTAATTGACGTCAGGGCTACACAACACAAAGGGGAAAGTTGACAACAATTCAGGAGCTTTGAGTCGTCAAGACAATTAGCTTAGTACTTCAGGGCAATAAATGCTACAATTTATGGGCAATTAGCTGTAAAATGGCCTATAGCTGAAAAATTATTCCTGTCTTGTTTCATAATTTCATGGAGATTAAAGATAATCTAAATAGATTAAGGTCTTAATCTTTAATCCAGGTGAGTAATTTCATTGGCAGTAAAAAGCATAAGAAATAATTTTCAATGTAGTAAATAAAAGAAAAAGCAGCAAAAACCTTGTTTGGTCTTCCAGTGGCAAGGATATTTGAACAGCTTCAAGAAGCTGAGAGAAGTTTGTTCCCAATTTACAAGTATTTTGACATATAGATAAACAAAAGCAAAACCAGTTAAACCTTAAAGATCATCTGAATAAGATACTGACAATTAAAATTTTACATCCACACGAATTTCAAGCAATTGTTAATGGGAACCAGCAGGGCTACATTAAGAAAATCACTTTTCACTTTCTCTCCCTCACATTTTTAATTTGTCTTGCTTTGTTTATTTTGGTGATGCAAGTCCTTTCCCTTCATGAATCAAGTGTAAAGCTCTCAGGCTAAAATAATAGTCATTTTTGTGGGCCCCAAATAGCTATTTTTGAATTTCTTTCTTTAGTATATCTCAAACCTGGGGGACATGGGACTCGAAGACTCCTAACCATGAAGCATCTGTAAAAATACATATTGTTCACTTTTCACAGAACCATTTTCTTAAAAATAAGAGGCAATACAGGTATCCAGATTCACATGCATGTTCATAATAAAGCTTTGTCTTAAAGCAAATGCACACCAGCATTATTTTCAGCTTAATATTTTGGCCCCAAAACAAGAATCCAAGTATAACATTTAATTTTCATCTATAATGCATGTATTGGCAGGACAAAATATATATGCAAATAACACTGGAAAATATTGTTTCCTATACAAGGGATCAAGAAAAAAACAAAGAGAAAACCCACAGCACTAAGTTTGCTGTAGTGAAAATACGGTTCATGGTGCGTGTGCAGAATTAGATTAGTTGAGAAGTAGTTCTATTACAGGGAGCAAAAGCAAAGAAGCAAGTTCATGGGCAACCCAGAAGACGGAATCATATTCTAATTTCCTTAATTGTAATTTAAAGAATCATTCTCCATAATTTCTGTTTCTAGAGCTTTCTTTTTTGTATGCTATCATGTAAGGTAGTACTATTTCACCTTAAGAAATGGAATGACAAATTTCAGCCTAAGAGTGATGTATTCTGAGTTGGTAATTACTTAAAACAATGAGAGAGTAAAACACATCAAACTTAAAGTGTTTACTTTTTGAACATTAAAATTAATGTCAGGTAAATGCAGAAAAATATATAATCACTAGTTCTCAGCTTTTTAATCAATCCCTTTGTTTCTCTTCTTCTAGAAGATTCTATGAGCATTATGTTGCTCTGATCAAAAGCAACCTCACTACTCAAATACCATCATAGCTTCAATGTGCATTATCGTGATTTCAGTAGATTCACACTCAAATCTTTTTAGTGCCATAAATTTATTAAGCCATAAAGGTATTAAACCGTCAGCTCCTGTGGAGAGATCTGGGCAAAATTTATACAAGCAGTTTAATTTATTACTTAAAAATTATCTCATAATTGTGGTAAGAGATTTTTAAAGTAACCCTTTGGAAAAAATTTTACATGATACCCAAAGGCACTAGTTCACATAAGGGGTGTGGCTGAAAAAGCAAAACAAAGCCATTGTGTAGGTAAAGAGCACAAAAAGAAAAAGGATATTAAAAGGAAACCTGGTAAGCTTTAAAGTTATTCTACAAATGGCACTTTTCACGTTGGTATAAAATGAAAGTGCTTTAAGATGAAATTTTTCTGTATTTTTTAAAGCTGATTTTTAACCCCCTGAAAATAGGGGGTTATAAGAACACCGATAGACTAACTCATAGTGGCAATAAGTAGTGGATGTCACTAAAATGCTCTGTGTGTGTCTTTATTTTTTAGTATTTCTAATGTTGATAGACTTGCTTTATCTATCTGTGTATCATTAGTGAGATTTGCTTTTCAGCTCTTTACTAGAAAGTTACAGCTCATTTAAAATAGCTGGTAAATACAGAAAGCATAAATATACAGTAAGTTTAAACACTGATTGTACTAAATGCAACAATACAAAGAAGCAAACGGAACACAAATGGTAACACAATAAAACTGTATTACATTTGTGCTTCAAATATTACAATACATTATATACAATAGTCCAAAATAAACATCTCATGCCAAGTGACACAAAAACGAATAGCAAGCAAAAAAAAATCCAGCAATATGTACATTACTTTTTTCTTCAATAATAAACATTCAACTCTGAACTGGGGCAATTTCACTACATACAGATGCAGTCCGCCTTTTATTCCATATAACCATCCTGCCTTCCTATATCTACGCTATTCAGTAGGTTCCTGTGTCAATTCTTATATACATGTGGAGCAAAAAAGATAAAAGAATGTAGTGCTTTGTATTCTTAATGGGGTGATGTTGATAGATCAGCGAACCTGGGGTGCATAACCTTCTTTCATTAAACCTTCCTCGTAGTCCGTCTGGCAAAGGATCATGTTATTCTTTAGGAAAAATTTGTCTCCAACACAAAATCTGAAAATATTTGAAACAATAAAATGTGGTTAAGACCATTTCACTTGGAGCTATAAATTTGAAGATTTATCTTCCTAATAATAGTTTCACATGATAATTCCCTGAATCTGAAAACCTGGCTTAGATAGTTGTCTTCATTATCAGAATTAAGCCATTTACCATTTGCTTCATTTAATGAAATATTGCACACATTTGAAATCTTGCCTTTGTATGCAAAAACTGTAAGGACATCGATAGAAACACTTTGGGCACCAAACATGACTTGCTTTTTTTTTTTTTTTTTCAAACCTCATTGGGAAGGAAAAAATAAAAAGAACTGATTTGTATTTACACTCATTAAAAGAAAGATAATAATGTTTCACTGCAGTAATTATGGATGATTTCATCTCTGGCCATTTAGGCATTTAATAAAAAAGTAAAAGGTACTGACATGAATCAAACAATTAGAAAATAGCCCATTTTAAAGCTTCCCATTTAAAGCTTTCTTTTACTGTGTTACGAAAATGAGATTAAATTTTAGTAATCTAGAAGTGATCATTCTAAAGCGAAAGTTGCTTTTGTGTCAGACTCTGATGCTGAGCCATATTCCTTTGTTTGTGGCAAGTTCACCAACATGAAATAGTAGATGTCATTTCTTAGAGCACTTCCAATTTAACCAAAGGGAGTAACCTAAATGAGCTACTTAATATTGATGTGATAAATTAAACTAGTTTCCAATAGCTAATTAGGCATTTTATTTTATAAAGCACTGTTTAATGTGCAAGACTGTAATGTTTTTAATAAGCGTTCTTTTTGTATGATTTCCCCATGGTGACACTTTGGACACAATTAAGGTCAGAAATAAATGCTTTTTCTGTTTCCGCTACATTTAACAATAAAGTAACTCTGGGGAGATCTGTATATATATTTAATTGTAACAATTTGACCTTCAAACAGTGGTGTCTGGTAGAGCTGACCCAGTAAAACTACTTGTAATTATACAAGTTGACCTTTCTGACCTTTGATAGTAGTCTCTCTTTATCAGATAGTCAATTTCAAATGATGTTCCAGCAGAAATCTTAGTGGATAGATTAAATTGCGTAGTGAAAGCCACCCTTTAATGTTTTGTGAAGTTGAAGGTTTAAATGAGAAGCAGTTGGACTGATTTACATTTGCAAAGATTGGAATGCTAGACAGTGAACCTATTTTTTTTCCAACTGGGTAGCTTTGGAAATTTATCCTTATACTAGCTAAGTAGATAGAGGGGAAAATAGTGTAATAAAAAAAGTAGATTGAAAAGAATTAGCTTTCCTCTTAAAGGAAAATTGGTCTGTTTATTTGTGGAATTCACTTTTTTTTCGCCAGGATTACTGCCTGCTGATGATGTTGATTGAAAGCACAGACTATGCACTGATCTTGAAATCGTAGGGTTGTTTGTGGTCAAAGCTATTGGATACAATCAACATTCAAGTCCGGGGCTTTAAGTGTATTTTCTTTGTATTAGTTGCAAACTGTACACTTTAAATGTACTTCAATAACAGTGTTTGTACAAACCAGTTTGATACCCTGATCACTAAGATATGTTGAATAAAGGAAATATTTCTCTTGTTGAATAGACCTAAGTAGTAAAATCGATAGTTTATCTTTTAGGTGAAAAAATATAAAATAGCATGTAGAATACGTTTAATTACTGTACAAAGTTATAAATGTATATTACTGATGAAATTAATTTTGACTAATATGCAAATAATAAAATATCACCCAAAACAAGTAGATTCGATAAACACTCTTGTGTTCCACCTAATATTACTAAATCATTTCTTCTCTAAAGTCATTAATTTGGAAACATTCTCTTTTAACTCCGTATTGTTTAAAATTTTGCTTTACTTTTTTAGTAAGCCCTAAAGTTCCATTAGCCATCAAATAAAAACATTTTACTTTGTCATGTTATCACGTTATGTCATGCCGTTCATGCCTTTAGAGGCCTTCACACTTAGAAAATTTCTATTTGTAGATTAATAAATTCAAGGTAATTATAGTGAGAAAAGCATAAAACCAAGAGACTGGGGATCTGTCTTGAGTCCTGTCTCTGTCACCTACTCATTGCAAGACCTGGGGCACATTTCAGACTATCCCTGTCTCAATTCCCCATGTGTAAGAGAAAAAGAGCCTGACAAGTAGATTATAGAGAGGTTCAAATGAGAAGTGTGTGAATGGCAGAGAGGTATACTGCAACCAATAGGGTCCAAACCCTAGCTTCCCACTTATGATAACTGAAGATAAAACTTCAGTTTGAAATATCTGTGACATCAGTCGCCTTTGTAGGCTTGCGGAAAGAGTAGAAATGAAATATCTAAAATCTTACCTTGATGTTTGGAATATAGGTAAAATAGCCACATTTTTATACTTACCATGTGCTAAATGCTAAGCATGTATGTACATGATCACATTTATTCCTTACATCCAACCTAGAAAGTAAGCATTATTATGGCTTTTTACAGAAGAAAAACCTAAGACTCCATTCCAGAATTTAAAAACCCTACCCAAGATTCCATAGTTAGAACATATGTAGTAAAGGAAGGAAAATAACCCAGGTCTTTTTGGATTCAAGACTCAAGTTTTTACCTGGGGGCAGAAAAGCATGCGAACTATAAGAATAACGTGGAGATGAAACAGTTATGCAGGGCATAACTGTTTTTTCTTTTTTGTATTACTATTATTCGTTTGCATAACTTTAAAAAAGTCTGCCTACCATTCAGTTAGGTGGTATATACAGAGCAACAGAGGGAGAGGGAGAGAGAGAAAGAGAACTTTTCTAAAATACCCCATCTGACATATTTTATTGCTAATATGTTATCAACTGGATAAAGTGCACTTTATATGCATTTCAATTTATACTTAAAGGTCAAGATGAAACAGAACATAGATGAGGAATGTCACATTTGAACATATGACTCAAACAAAACAGCCTTGAAAGCTGTGGTTAAGAGCAGATTATGATTGGTCTGCAATTAAGGTTGATATCCTCCTTAAAAAATGCTTTATATATAAATACAAAGAAATTAGAGAGACAGCAACACAGATAGTACATATTTAACAAAGGAATCTGTAACTGTGATTTTAACCAGCTTCTTATGAGATTCAGCATTTGGAGGAAAAGCAAAAGCATTATGAAAGGAGTGATAGCCAGAGGATACTGCAAGTATATTAACAGATCAGGCTACAGTTACTAAAAATAAACATAATCTTTCTTGTAATCTGACCCTAATTACTTGTAGTATGCTCAGTTCAATTAGTTTTACCCTCTTTTAAAAAAATTATGGTAAGGAATAAGAAGATGCCCAATTGGATTATTAAATCATCTAATCTTGATGTTTTAGAATTAATATTAGATTTAATTTGTAGATATTTTTGAGTGATTGTCAGACTGAAGCAGACTTCATACAGTCTTAGAGACTTAAGAAGTATATGAAAGAAGTATAACTTATAAATCATCCTTATAAAATACAGTGCTTAGTTTTAAGCAGTTTATCAAAAGGCTATGCTAAGAAGCCTCCACTGGTAACATCCCTTTTAAGAAATTAAAATGTTAGCTTAGCCATCTTCTTTCCTAAATGTTAGTGACTGCCAATTATGATTAATTTCTATTTTACACTTATATAAGAAGGGGAATCCTATCTATATTTCTAGTGTCTATACTTCCCTATTCCACATTTTGGTTAACTATAAGTTAAGAGATTTCTAGTATACTGTTTTCAGTAAGAGGTCTGAGTCGTGTACTCATTTCACCACTATACACTTCTGGACAAATTTACTGTCTTTCCCATTGACAACCTGGCTGTCATTACACATCCCACTGCTAACACCCCTTACTGTATCAAATTATACTACCCATACCCCAAATCTTGCTGTACATTATTCAAAGCTTACCTTAATTTAACTCCACTACATCAATTCACATTTCTATGCTTAGTCAGAAAATAAAATACCTCTCTTGAAATGGGCCTGACTCCAGAAAGGGAGATGAGATTCCTTGGGTTTTTGTCTTGATCCTACCATTTTCTTCTGTGTAATCTTGGGCAAATTACTTACATTTCCTATACTTTACTTTCTTCATCTGTCAAATGAAGCTAATAACAATATCTACTTATGGGTTATTTTGAGTATTCAAGGAGTGAGTGCATGTAAAACACTCAGATCACTGTTTGGCTTATGACTAATACTTTATCAGAATTTACTATCATTATTATTTGGTAATGATAATCTTTTCACCTTTACTTAAGTTGTTCCCTAGCAATAAATATTTCTCCCCTTTTCCTGTCTACGTAAATTCTAGCAATCTTTGAGTTCCCATTTCCTCCATCAACATCCTCTGACCATGTCAATTCACTTATTCTGATCTTTCCCAAAGCACTTATTTGTTGGTGTATTGTTATTTTGGTGTTTCACAATTTCTCATGAATGTGTAACTGGTTTCCCAATCTAAACAGCAGTTCTGTGGTAAATGACCATGAGTTATGTTTCTTTTGAACCCTTTGCAGAACCAACCTAAACTGTACTACCACTTAAGGTGTGTGGTCATTAAAAATTGGTTAAGGTAGATTTATTCCAGACACCAACAGCTTTACAAAAACAAATGCATTTTAGACGACTAATTTAAATTTGTATTCATTTTGACTTTTATTCTATGACTTTTCAAAGACTACATTTACAATTTCATTTCCTCTGGGTCCTTGCTTTCTCTCTCCTCCTCCACATGCCCACCAAACCCCTTCTCTAATCTCTGAACATACTGAGCTGCTTTTCATTTCCTAAACACCTCAAATGCCTTCACATCTGCATGCCTTTGCACGTTGCTCAATTTGCCTGAAAATCCCTGGCTCCCTCATCTTCCCCAACCCCCAGCAGACACACTTCCTGTAAGTCAACCAGTTCTAGGGAGTTCTTTTTTTTTAAGACCCAGCACATCAGGCCTTTGATGCTTCCCTAACATTTCAAGGATAACTGTCTCTTCCCTCGGTATAGATCTATTTGGCATCGATTACACTCTTCTGTGAGGCTTTGATGTCCTGTCTCTCCCATAGCTCTGGACATGTCTAAAAAATAAACTAGATTTTATCCACCTCAGCTTCCACAGAGCCTAGCACGGTGCTTTCATTCTTAAAAAAAGAAAATTGTTACATAATTTTATGTAGTTGGGAAAATTTCATCACAAGCTTTTATTTTTTCCTTAACAAAACTATCATTTAGTTTTACTGAGTTTACTAAGAGGAAGGGGCTTATTCACCTTTATGAAATTAACTTGTTATATAGAATCTTCCAGTTCTGAATGAGATTCAAGATATCATAAAAAAAGCTCAAATATCCATCCTGTGGTATCTTTTAAAATGTAGAAACTTGCAGAATTTTAATGCAGAGTTCATATTTTAGCTATACTCCTCTAAAAGGGGCAGAAGAAATCTATATTTAAGGGACAATCAATCCCGAAAGGTTATTATTACTGATACTTTTTAAAACATTCAGAAATGCTTTGGATCTTAATGATACTCTGATTTAAAAGTTAAGATGAAATGACTGCTGAATAAAATTCATAAACGTGTAATTCCACAACTTCAGAAGTCAGTAAGGTTTGCTTAAGGGGATGAAATGCCTATGAATTACCTACTTGCCTTGCATTTCACTTGAAAAAGTGCAATATTGTGACAGTGATTTGGCTACTGGAAGTGGGATAGGGGTTTCCTGGAGGGGGTTGAAGCAAACTTCAGAGTAAGAGGAGAATCTCCTATATTAAAATCTTCTGTATCTGGATGACAAAATTTGTCTGCTTTGCTTGACTGATGAAGATTAGCTGACTTCCTGCACTAAAGAAGTTTGTCTTGTAGGGGCTGAAGTGACAAGACAATAACTAAGTGCTAATTGTGCATAACCAGCACTAAAGATATGCAGTCCCATTATGGCATGTAATAAATGAAGCGAACACAGAAATATATTAGGTACTTTAATAATGATACTAGAATAGTATTTTGCAGCAATAAGAATGTGAACAGGTTTAGAGTCAAAATTTAGGAGTGTTTGTCTTACTTGACTGAGTTCTCCTGAGGAGACAGCCTTAATTGTGAATGCAACTTTTTATTTCAATGGTGAAATAAAATTGATATATGATTTGTAAATAGCATTAACAACCTACAATTACTTTGCATCATAATAGAATTTAGGCTGGGTTTAGCACTTGAATGATGTTTTAATTTTCTGTGTAGAACATGGATAAAATAGGTAAGCCTACTTAATAGAAAAAATGGACAAAGGACATAAACTGCCTACTTCTCTAAAAGAAGGAATACCAAAGGGCCACCAGGAATCAAATAAATGCCAATTAGAGATTATAATCAAATACCATCTTTCATCCCTCAAGGTGACAATGATTTTTTTAAAAAACATAATTCCTAGTGTTAGAGTGAATGTGAGGGAATTGCATAGTTTTGTACATTTCTGCTGGGAGAATAATCGGAATAACATTTCTGGAGATAATTTCAGCAATGTATACCATAAGCCTTCACACTGTTATATACTTTGTTTAATTAATTATGTTCCTGTGAATTTAGCCAGATCGAGATATGAGCATTTGTTTTTTATACAGTCCATTTTATATTGATAATACTGATAATATTTACAAAATAAAAACTTTTGGAAACAACTTATATATCTGATGATAGAAGACATGCGTGAAGCTCTGTCCATAAAAGTGAACTTAGGAAAGCTTAAAAAACCTTAAAAGAATTTTTAATGTCAGGTAAAAAGGCACATAATATAAATTGAGTGAAAAAGTCCAAATAACAAACATTAGGATTCTTCCCTGTAACTTTTCCCTAATTTGCTTAAATGTGAGGGTAACATTTATACAATATAATTTGTCCTATATACATAGAAACATGTATAGCTGGCTATATATCTAAATATTAAAATGTTTTCTTTTAGAATAGTGAGACATGAGACAATGTTGTGTTTTTATCATTTTCTATTTTCTAAATGTTCTACTATGAATATGTAATCTTTTATAAGTAGAAAAGCAATGACTTTACGATTGCATAATGGTAACTGCATTGTTACTGGCTACTATTAGTTAATCAACATGACACGTAGACAAAAATATTCTAAATTTACTACTAATACACCTCTAAAATGTATAAGATACATATATACATGCACATAAAGGTGTCTGTATGGATGTATGAATATTTGTGTTTGTGTATCCTTATCCCTACAAAAAACATGTGCAATTGCCAATTTATTTTTGTCTAAATGTTACCCTAGACTGAATGAACTTACTTTGATGCTCAGTACTTGTTGGGAAGAGTCAAGACATTGTAAGATACATCTTAAATGATTGTCTGGATAACTATTATATTGTAAGGTACATTAGGCCACAGTCTTCATATCTACAGTTGATAAGAGACACTATTGTGATATATGTCTTTTAGGAAAGTCAAGTTAGTGGAATATTATTTGGTAAGTTATAAAAATAACTTTTGAGAACCTATTGTATTCCTGACACTTAATATAAATTATTTCATTTAAGTTTCAAACTCTGCAAGAAAGGTGTTAGTGTTTCTATTTTATGGGTGTGGGAATCAAATTCAGAGCGATTAAGTAACATACTCAAAATCACACAGCTAATATATCAGCTGATATATGGTGGTGCTAAAATTTGAATCCCGTTCTCATTATAAATGTCACATTCTTCCTACTATTCTACAGGGTCTCATAAGAAGATTCTCCATCAAATAGTACCTTTCGCAGTAAAGTACAATAATTGAGAAACTGATGCAACTAATATTTATTGATTATATACTATGTCCAAGTGTTCTCACAGAAACTCACTAAATTCATTTTCATTAAAATCTATCAAGTGTTTTAATTTTTGAAATGCTGTATTTTTAATGATATGCACATTTTAATAGTCTAAAGTTATCTCCATTTATCACATGAAACAGGTGCCAGTAGTATATAGTTTCCACAGAAATAAAATATATATATATAACTTTCAATAAGAAAAAATGGAATTAAGTTATAATACTTTTGAGCTGAAAGAATTCTCTGAGATGGACTAATCCAGCTCCATATGTTACAAATGAAAAAACTGAGGTCCAGAGAATGAAAGTGTTTCCTTTAAGATCACACAGCTTATTAGTGACAGAGCCCATATTTGAATTTAGGTTTCCAGATTCCCTATTCAAGACTTTTTCAAATGCTTCTCTCCAATGATGATAACTGTTTAATTATTAGCTATATGTGGCCTGATTCTCAAAGATATTTGAAACAATTGCAAAAGTACGTACAGAACTGGGTTAACATTTAAGGTAAACATCTAGAGAGGCTGAGGGTACTGGCTCATGTCTATAATCCCTGCACTTTAGGAAGCTGAGGTAGGAGGATTGCTTGAGACCAGGAGTTCGATACCAGGCTGGGCAACACATATTCCAGCTCTATAAAAATAATTTTTAAAAATTAGCCAGGCATGGTGGTGCACACATATACTCCCAGCTACTTGGGAGGCTGAGGCAGGAGGATTGCTTGAAAACACAGGAGTAGAGGCTGCATGAGCCATGTTAGTGCCACTGTGCTCTAGGCTGGCTGACAGAACCAGACCTTGTCTCAAAAAACAAAAACAAGAACACGAGAAATCAGGAAATTGAAATCTTAAAAATAAGAGAAATACAAAATACTTAAATTCCTGTATATTTGCCTCATTGTCAATTTATTTGCTCACAGAAGTAGTACAAAAAAAGTAGATACTTAAAAACTACTTTTTAAAAGACAGGAAAATAATAAAAGAAAGGAACGAATAAAAGAAGTCAAAGTGTACAGAAGTATTTCCATTTTCTGTTACTTGCTCTTATACGATGCTTTTCTTTCAGGCAGAAGTAAGTCTTAAGACCTTTCTTCTCCTTAGTGGTTTGTTTCTGGGATGGGATTAAAGTTTACAAAACAGAAAAATGCTGAAATTAATTGCTTTAAATGTACAAATATAAATCCCACCTATTAAATAAATAGCCAGCACAGACAGGTTTACCATTTTTTTAGAGGCCAAAAAGAGATCTGCTTACCTCTGATTACAAAGCTGACATGCAAAGCAGTCCAGGTGGTAAACATTGTCCTTGGCACGCATCACCATCTCAAAGGCAGGGATGAGCTTACTACAGGCCGCACAGTTTCCCGTTACACCGAAGAGCCTAGAATAAGAAACATTTTTTTTTTAAACTCTTACAGAGAAATCTGAGATTGTGAAGAGAGATGATGCTAATATACCCTGTAAAGCTATCAATACACAATTCCTTATGATGTACACAAGTGGGTTGTATCCTAGGTGTATGCATAAATATTCTTCCACAACATATTCTCCATTGACCTTCTTTGATGAAAACCACATCTTGTTTGAGAAGAAAAGGGAAAGACAAATACATTAGGAAGCTTATATAACTGCACATAAACAGAAGTTAATGGGGGTGAATTCATACCAAAAGTCTTCTCTGGGTTAGAGTACACAGAAAATCTAAAAGCAATGTAACTTTGATCTTAATGTTATATATTAAAACTTTTTAGTTGGGAAAGGAACCAATGAATGAATGACTCACTATTTTTTGACATCTAGTTACTAAAAGGTTTGCCATTACTATTAAAAATACATTTATGAACAAGCCATTTAAATAGTCAAAAAACACAGAGGCGCATGTATGCACCTTATGCCTCTATACCATAGTTATAGCTATGATTATGTTATTCAAGTAGCACATTAAAGTAAATGAGGCTGTAAACTATATATAGCTAGACCAGAAATTGAAGCATAATATATTGTCAGAACCATTGGAATTGTCTAGGATTTCAGAAAAGTTCCTATTTGCTGTAGCTTCCTGAAAATCATTATCGGAATGACCTAAAAAAAAGTACAAAATAAAATGTCTCTCATTTCATAACATGAGGAAACATTTTATCCATTTGCACTGGCAATATTTAAACCAAGTTTCTTTAAAGTTGATAATGATAGTGAAGAATTGTTATAAATAATATTCCATGCATAGTAGTTAATGCACTTTTTTACTAGGAAGCAAACTAGATGAAAAACACCACATCTGCCAGTTTTCTTTTTTCTCCAGCGTCAGGCTGACAGGAGAAAAAATATAATGGCTCTCATGGGAAAGACCAAATTAAAAGCAGTTCTAAACTAATGAATTCAAAGGTGCTATAGAGAAAACTCATTTTAGTTATAAAAATGTACTTTTAAAAAACTTAGCCTTTCATTTTATTGAATTTAAGGATTAGGCACAAATGTGCTGAAGTCTCTCATTACTTTCTATAGACTCCAAAGACAAGTCTTTTCTTAAGGCATGCATATTCATTTTCAAGTTTATAACTATTTCCTTTTACCAGGATAATAAGAGTTGTTGGAAACAGTTGTGAGAATGGTTTCTAAGTGTCTGGCAAAAATGTGCAATAAATGTTTATGCTCATATTTTTGTTGGATTGTCTCTTGAAGAGCATAAGCACCTTGAAGGTAGAAGCAATAAATGCATTTTGAAGACTTTGCTAATGTAGTCTGTGCACTTGATAAAAAGTAAGTGAAGTTTACATTCAAAAAGATCAGATTCATAACTGTTAGGCACTTATTTTCCTTACTGAATTGCAAAACAGTTTAGTATTGCTAATTTAAATCATATAACCCTAATAACTTTCATGTTCTCAGTTTGTAATCCATATTTTCATAAATAATATTTCTTTCAAAATAACTTCCTTGAAAATGTAATATCTTACATCTGCTATTGGAGATGTAAAATGAAACCATCACAAATTAAAGCTTTCATCCTATTCATTTGTAAGCAGAATTTTTTACTTTATTGTAACGTTTCATATTTATTTTTCAGTGTACTTTACATGATCTACTTAGGAAGCACGTCACTTATATATGCTATTGTTCCTTGTGTTCTTTATTGTTTTGGAGAAATAAGGAAAACTTAAAAGTTCTTTATTCAATGAATATATACTTGTGTATATAAAATCTGGTTAACATGAGATAAAGCTGTTTCTAAGAATTATTCAGTTTGCTCATATCTAATAAACATACACACACAATGCCACTTTGAAATTCTGGACATAGTTTCCCCCAATTTCAATTGCTCTCGCTAGCTGAGCATTTATCAGCTACCTGATTAGAATTTGTTTCCACACAAACCATTGATCATCAGCCTATTACTAGGCAAATGACAGTTAATTACCCACTACATTAACCACTGGGACCTGAGACCTGCTTCTGCTGCCATCAGTCAACATGATAAATGTGGCAAGTTCAGTAATGCATGGCCAGCCCTGAGCTGCCTGCTATACTGTGAACAACCCTCAATCTCACTTCCAGGCCCAGGAAAATCTATGGCAATCTGCATAATTACAAGCTCTGGGTTAATAACAGACAAATGATTTGTTGCATCTAAACAAAGTCCTTGGAATGCTCTGGGTCTCCGATGGCTGCCTGTACGGCGAACCGCCACTAGTGTACTTTCCACTACGATGTGCACAAAACAGTTCTCTGACGTTACAGCCTTCCAATTTGTTGCCCTCCAATTTATGGATTCTGCATATGTGATTTTTAATCATTAAAGGACTCTTGAAGCAATATTATCTTAATTATTCTCTGCTGTAACCAGGGAATTAGGCTTCAGATAAAATTTTCTTCTTCCACGCGCTTTCCCTGCCTCGCTGGAGGCTCCATCAGTTTCCATCTACACCTGGACTCTGATATCCTAATGATGAATTATTGCCCCTTTTCCTAAGAGGGCGAACCTTACAAGGGAACATTTTACTGAACTGTCAACTCACAGACTGAGTGCGGAGATGCGGAAATCTGATCTAATTTACTGCAAAACGATGCATTTGTTAGACTTTTTCCTCAGTTTTGTCCAAGGATCAAGAGATCATTCTATAGCTACATCTGTGCTCTCTTTTTGCTACTGGGACAAACCCGAGATTCTCTGGGAAAAGAAACAGTATTATTTTATAAAATGGGGTTTTCAAACACGACATTTGGTTTCCGAGGCAAAAGAATTTTCATATATGTCAATTAAGCATAAGGCATGCATAGTTCTCATTTGTAAGATTTTTTCAGATTGTGCCTAGGAAATACTTAAAAAGAGTCTCTTAACTATCTAATTCATTTAGAGTACTCATAATTCTGAAAATTCTGGTAACCCCTTCCTCTCCACTCTACTCCTACACTCATTTATAAAGATGTCATAGATCCACTTTTCCATTTAAGCTGGAGAGCTCTGTAAATTCTTGTCTGTAGTCCTTATACAGTCCTTATACAGTCTCATCCCCTACATAAGAGGGCCTAAGAGCTCTTAGTCATACACTGAGACAGACAAAGCATTATTTTAAAAAGGAAGTCATTATGAAATTTTGGCCGAAATTAATCATAGCATACCAGCTTATAAATTTATGGTAAGGAAAAAAAACAAGCTCATTGATCAATTTTGCTCATTTTAAGATGTCTTACAGATTACTAAATCATGGTACATGACGATTTGTCAATTTATGGGGTAGATTTTTCTCTATCCTTTATGCTCATAGTAGGCCTTAAGCAATGTGACCTTTATCCTGTTTCTGACACACTTCTAAAAGTAGGCTTATAATATAAAAGGTGACACGTATCGGCTATGCAATATCAGTGCATAGAACTATTAATACTTGTAGACATCCCAAAGGTGTGTCTGTCTCCTTTCTATTCCATTTTTGCTTTCACTGTCTTGTTTTGTCAATCTAAAACCAGATAGGAATACAAAACCAAACGGACAACTTTCTAACTTTCTTATGGGTAAGAACTCAGCTTACCTGTATGCTGGATGACACCTGCCACACCGTAGTGAGCATGGGCAGAGAAATACTTAAGAACTTTTGGGTATGGGTGGCACTGCAAGAACTAAGACAAGTTTGGATTTTTTTTTAAGGCGCTGAGAACATTTTGCATTTTTACTAAATGTTCAACAGTTTTGGCAACAATACCATAAATCAAGTGAACTCTCTATGGTTTAGTGTATATCCATTTCTATAAAGTTACTGGGGACTAGGGGTAGAGAAAAACTCAAGACATATAATCATTTAACACAGCAATAATGAATATGGTTTACTACAGGCATCAGGGAAAAATGAGTGTTCGTTGTCTTAGTGTCTTTTATTTCACAGCACCAGGTGTTTCTATAGATTTTTTTTAAACCAGGTCAGTGGCTCAAGTCACTAAATGAAATTCCTCCAAGCTATGGGAAGCATAGTATTTGACTCAAATTAATTTAATATTTGAGGGAAATGCACAAATATATGTCACCGCAGTAAACTTTAATTCTAAACAAAGATCAGATCAGTAGTCAAGCAATCCTCATTTAATAAGATGAATATGCATGAATTTAGCAGTTATTTCATTTATTTTATACAGTCTCACTCTGTCACCTAGGCTGGAGTACAGTGGTGTGAACACCAGTCACTGCAGCCTCAGCCACCTGGGCTTAAGTGATCTTCCTGCCTCAGCTTCCCAAGTAGTTGGGATCACAGGTGCATACCATGTCACTTGGCTAATTTAAAAAAAAAATTGTAGAGATGGGGTCTCTCTATGTTGCCCACACTGAACTGGTACTCTTGGGCTGAAGCAATCCTCCCAACTCAGATTCCCAAAGTGCTGGAATTACAGGTGTGAGCCACTATGCCTGGTCTAATAATTTTTAAAATATTGAGGACAAGACTAGTTTAGTTATAATCCTATCTGAAAATAAACTCTATAGAATAACTAGAGATGAACAGAGGAAAAAACTTTGGCTTTCAAAGAATATGAAATTGTAATCAATTGAAAAGATCTTTAACTTTTGACTGTTGGATGGAAAAGTTTTATTGAATATGTTTTGTGGGAAGGAATGAACACTTTCACATTGAGAAGGACAATTGCTTTTTTGTCTATTACAAACATGCTTCTCATCTCCTTTCCTCTTTTACTTTTTCAACTAAGAAAGGTAGTGATAGAAAATGAAAACACTTTGAACGTTCAATTCTTTTGTTTTAAACTTAAAAAGTTAACCCATTACAGGCTGTAGAGAGTTGAGTCTATTGTTCTTTCTCTTTTTGGGTTCTCAGCATGTGCTCCACTGTCAGACAGATAAAGCTATTATGAGGGTTAAAGAAATGTAAAAAAGAAAACACC